GCAAAAGATAGAAAAGTTTTTTCGCCTCAAACACAGAGGAAAAACTTGTCGTTTAATTCAACCATAAATTTATTTGAATTCAAGCATTGGTTGGCATCTGTTTGTCTCTCACAATACTTATATTTTTTATGAACATTATTTGGTTCCGAAAAAACAATGAATAAATACAGTATATATACAATATATAGCAAACAAACCTTTGTTTTTATTTTAGTCAAAAGGTTTTTTGTACAAAAACAAAATGCTTAACCAAACAACAAATTTATTGTAAATTACAATTTGATTATAATGTTTAAATAGTTGTAATTCTCGGCATATGTTTGAAAAAGATTTGCAATCAATTATTTTGTATATCATATTGTTGTAAAGACAATAAAAATTATAATATAATTTTACAAAATCTTTAATTAAATTATATTAAATCTTTATTTTGTATCTTATATTTAAATTTTATTTATATTTAAGTCAAAACCTTATAATTCATTTTATAAATTTAAACTTAAATATATAAAAACAAGTAAAAGTATATTATGATCAGAGCATTGAAGAATATTTTTAGAAATTTGCTCAAATATGCACTTAAAATTCAGTTGTACTGTATTTGAAATATGCGATAACCCATGAAATATGCATTCATATGCAAAATTAAACTCGGTTAAAGTGACCGTTGTATTGACCTTATATTATCGGTGGCCATCCGAACATTTGTACTTATACTATATACCAATAAATATATTCAAATTTCAATGCCCTGATGAAGTTATTACCAAAATTAAATGAACGATGTATTTATGTAATAATGCTTTAAAATTCATAAAACCTCATTAAATTAAAGATAATTAAACTTTATTTGCATTAACGCTAATTATTGGCCTTCTATTGAATACAACTCTCCTCTAATTAATCTTTAATTATCTTAATTATTATTTCCTTTTCTATTAATTCTGGGCTCAGATATATATTAAAAATATATTTATTGCTCTCTATTTTATGACTTAATTTTTCTTATAAATAATAAATATGTCAAAACTTTTCAAAGAGAAAGAAAGAGAGAGAGAGAGAGAGAGAGAGAGAGAGAGAGAGAGAGAGAG